GGGCCGTTGTCTTCCAGGACATCCGTGACTGCCCGGGGCCTCTCAGCGCCCTCACGGAGCTCAATGCCGCCGTGAAGGAAAAGTTCCGCCATCTCCGTGGCCGTATCCAGGTGAGGTTCCCGGCCGGGGGCCGCCCCGGTAACCGGCCTTTGCTGCGAGGCCTGCCTTCGGGCTGCCCGCAAAATGGGCCGGGAGCGGTGGGGTGTCCCGGCTGCGGGCGCCTTAGTTCATCGGATCTGTGCTGTGAATTCACTCCTTGCCCGGGGTGGGGTGTAGGGGTTGCAGGTGGCAGCAGTTCTTGATCAGATTTCCATGTTTCTGCTTACCGTCCAAGGAGCTCGAACAGATGGCGAAAGAGCAAGATAAGGAGTCAGAGAAGCAGGCCTTGCTGCGGGAAGTGGAAAACCATAAGAAACAAATGCTCAGGTGGGTCAGGCAGCTGGTGCTATTTACAGGTCCCCTGTAACCAGAGATGTCTGACATCCATACAGTGTCTTCTGGATCCTGTTTTGCAAATACGGTCACGGGCATGATGCTGTTTTGCCCAAGAGCACATCAGGGAGGGAAGGGTGGGACTCGCTTCTCCCTTCGTCTCTCTTGTCCTGACTCCCTAACCATGCATGGCCTGTCCCTTTGAGCACTTGACCATGTAAGTGGCATGAGAGGCTGCCACTTGACAGCTGGCACTGTTTTCTTCTTCCCTTGCTCCATTAACGATACACTTAGGAGAAGACAGGACAGTATGTTGTTACTCTGTGGTGTTATATAAACTCCATGCATGTAACCGTGGTGCTCAGTTACAGTGGTGATTGCTTTCTGAAAATTGTTTTTGCTTGCAAGGTGCTGCCGTCACACTACAACATTTTGCTCTTGTGATTTCAGCAATCAGGCAGCTTGGAGAAAGGCAAATCTAGCTTGTAAAATTGCTATCGACAACTCTGAGAAAGATCAGCTGCTGCAGGGAAGAGACTCCTTAAGACAAAGGTATTAGACCACCCCACTGTATGATCTGAGATTTAAACAGGATTTGCTATAGGCACTAGTGTGAAATGGAATTTGCATAATGTTTGTAAGTTACTTAATTGTATCTGAAACGCAGCTTTGCTTTTATGAGCACATTTACTTTTTGTGAAGCTTTTAACTGTTAAGGCTTGTGAATTTCAAGTTGTCTTGGTATTGGCATGTCTAAGCAGAAAAGGGGATAAGATTGCCTTCGTAGTTTTTCTGACTGTCTTTTCCATTAATTCCAGTCAGGGACATAAACAAGTAATGGATCATTATGCAGGCTGTTCTCATGTGCAAAACTAGATGTAAGCTTGTATAATTTCTGTGTTGAAAACTTGGCTTTTGAGTATCATGAAGCAACAAACGGGATACCCAAGATAATAAAGTGGTAGTCTGTATCTGCTTCCATGCCAGCTCATGAAGTTGTACAGTCATGGATTAATAAATGATGAAATATGGGCCCCTGTGAGATTCTGAGCTAGTTGTTTTGGCTCATTAATGTTTTGTGATTTATTTTTTTTAATTGATTGATTAGTGAAGACAAGCTGAATTTCTCATGCAGTAAAAACTGGTTGCGCCTTTCATACATTGGCAGAGATGTTTGGTGCCAAGCTCTGTTTTAAGCTCCCTGGCAGCAGCATTTTCCTGCAGTACCTACAGATGTAAATTTATCCCTTCCTGCTTTACTACTTCCCTTTCTTTTTCAGGAAGACCACAAAGGAAAGTCTGGCAGAGAGCGCGAGTAACATCACGGAGAGCCTGATGAGCATCAGCAGGATGATGTCGCAGCAAGTCCAGCAGAGTGAGGAGACCGTGCAGACCCTAGGTACTCATGTTTTTTAGGTGTCTGGGTATGGACTGGATGATTGAAGCACTTTTCACCAGTTGTGTTAGGATGGGGAGAGACAAACCGACATGATGTGGAGCACGGTGGAAACTTCCTTTGCTGTAGGAGAGCTTAATATGATGATAATTAAAGGCCCATCCAGCAGAACTCATAACAGTTGGCCATAAACAGGAAGTAATAATGTCCATTACATGGAGCTGTTTGCTGGAGTTTGTTTTGTGATTATGCAAAGGAAAAGGGAGGCAGGAGAAGGGGGCAGGGTGAGGAGTTTTTGTTTTAGTTTCATAAAAAAGCAATTGTGAAAGCAGTGTGAGTTCACATGGTGTTGAGAGCGTGTTTGGTGTGACTCTGCTACGGTCCTGGCATGCATTTGGTAGTAGCTGAGAAAATAAAGCATAGGTACAAGTCCATACACAGAGGAAACTCTGTATGGCTGGAATACTGTTCACCCAGTCTCCATCTGGGATGACTAAGAGATGAGGAGATCAAGTGAGTTGAACCCGAGGTCACTTGCTCTGTCAGCAGTGCATCAGGGACTGTGAAACCAAGATTTCACCCAGTTCTTTGGCTTAGACTCCTAAGACAATCAATCAAGTGACCTGTCAGAACTGGAGATTCCTGAAGCATGTAGAAGTTGGATGTGTGTTCCCAGGGCCTCTTCCTAGCTGTGCTTTTGGGCAGAAGAGAGAACAGTCTAAAGATGAGGATAAATAACACAACTTTTGCCCCCCTTGTTTGCTGCCCCCATCTGAGGATGACAGCTGCCCACAGTTTGTTCATGCAGAAGTAGTGTGTTTCTTCTCCCATTAAAAAGACAGTTTGGCAGACACTTTGTCACCGTTTCTGACTGACCAGCATTTGGAGTTCATCAAGGGAAAAACTACCAAAGGTCGTTTACAAAGCCCAGCTGCAAATTCTGAATCAGTAGTTAGAATTTCCTTGTTTTTCTGAGCCAGTCCTTTTCTAGTACATAGTGAATATGTGCGGCTGTGAAGCAGGGAAGCTCTGCTTTGTCAGTAATGCTGGGAAACAACTTCTCTATTTTTACTTGGATCAAAATGCCTCTTTAAGATGGGACATAATGCAAAATACCGCAGACATGTATCTACTGTTGTGGACCAGACCATATGCTTGGAGTTCGACCTTTCTTTAGTCAGTCGGTTCCTTGCAGGGTGATACATCAGCATTCACTGCTGTGCAGGGTGTGCATTCTGTAATACAAGAAAAAGGGGACTCCTGGGCTTTTGCTTTCATTTCGTGGTTTGGAAGGAGGAAGACTGGGGGGTTGCTGTTTTGTCCTATGCTCAGATTCTCTTCAGTTGAGACAAATCAACATGCTTTATGTCTAGCTGATTTTCTCTTTTAATTAGAAAAAAAAAGTTTGTCAAAACCAACAAAAACTGTTTAAATTATTTGAACCAATTAATTAAGGGTCTCGTACTGCTGCTTGCTGCTTTTTCACTCTCTGCAAACCCATCTGAACCACACTGATTTACTGCTCTGGCTCAGGAAACGGTTTCAGTTGTGCAGTGAATGTATTCAAGTATCGACCTGTCCTGATGCTGCTAGTGATGGTGATTCCCCTCTCTTAAATTGGTGCTTCTAGCACCATTCTTACTTCACTCCACTTCCAGCGAGCTCTCAGGTAGCTCTGACTTTGTTCACAAAAAATGTGAATTAGATTTGATCTGGTAACCTGAAAATTAAAAATTGAGGAAGGGGACATAAGGCCTTTAAGCCATTCAGATACTCTTTATTTTGCTTTGCGTTTTTCTTCAGCACATCAGGACTACTGAGTTGTGAAAGATTCTGCAAGAACACAGTCTGCATTTGTCTTGCCCATGAGTCAGTCTGACCCAGGAGGATCTCACAGGCACTATCTGTATTGCCAAATACTGCATGCTTATATCCCTTGTCAAGTATTTTTGAAGCACAACCAGCTGAATTCTGTTTTTCCCTTAATTTCAGCAAATTCTTCACGGACCATCCTGGAAGCAAATGAAGAATTTAAGTCCATGTCTGGGACAATTCAGTTGGGGCGGAAGTTAATCACCAAGTACAACCGCAGGGAGCTGACGGACAAGCTGCTCATCTTTCTTGCCCTCGCCTTATTCCTGGCCACTGTGCTCTACATTCTGAAAAAAAGACTCTTTCCGTTTTTGTAAAATTTCAAAGCTAAATTGAACTATTACGAAAGATCGGAAGGAGATGGCGTAATAACGGTAAGGCTTTTAGGTAAAATAAAACGGGATATTGCAATAGCTGAAAGTGCATTACAGCAGGCCTGGCTTTACGTTGTCCCTGGGGAGCACGCGACCTGCCTGAGAAGAGCTTAAATGAGCACGAGGTGGGAAGAAGCAGGCAGATCAAGGTGCGGAAGGAAGAAACACCAGTTTGCCTGTAGGTTTGGGGAACTGGACAAGCACTTGAAGAATTAGGCACTCAAAGGTGCCGGTCGTAACTTTCCAAATTCTCTTTGTTTTGCATTGAAATTACCTTGTCCTTGGCTTGGACTGGTAACTGCTTTGACATCTGTGTGTAAGGTGCTTGAGAGTGAGAGGAAGGATGGAAGGGAGAAACTCACATACATTCCGTTAATAAACTATTTATTTTATCCATGTAAACTGAGTTTTGTTTTAAAAACCCAAAGTCTAATGGTTTAAAAGAGCCCGAATAACTTTCAGTGTAAAAATTCTGCTTAATTCTTAACAGCAGTGGTTGCTTATGGATTGTTTTTTCTGAGCATAATACAGGGCTCTGACGGAAACAAAAATGGGAGCCCCATTTGTTATTATCAATTCCTGCAATACATTTGAGAATTACATTGCCAGTCCGTTGAAATCAAAAGTCTTTTTGCTCCTTTTGTTTATAAAATTCCATGTAATACTTGGTATTTGCAAAACACTGCCAAATTGTGTATTTGAAAGTTTTTCTTCCTTACACATTTCTCAGTAAAATCTTTTACAATTGTTACCTTCCCTGTCTCTTGTGCTTTAGTAATAGGAGTTGGTTGGCTTTAATAACATAAATACCAACCCACCGCACTCCAAATAGCACCTCAAAGTACCAAAAACTGCACTTCAGTGTTCTCAAAACTGATGTTGCCTTCTCCTTGGGAAATTGTTCCATTGCTGCTTCAGAGCTGGCTGGTCAAGTTGACATTCTGCTTAGGAACTTCTCACGGAATGGTTAAATCCTGCCTTAATTTAGTAGTTAGAAGGAGACTTTTTAGAAGGCAGTACTACACACAGCCTAAGGAACACGGCACCAAGCGAATTGCAGGATGCAAGTTTATTTACCGTTCTGCTGGCAGCTGCTACAAGCTTGGTGAATCACAGGAGTGGCAGTAGGTTGTAGCAATCCGGACCAGTGCACGGGACAGTGAAGTGGCGATTGTGTGGCTGTGTGCATGAACAAGAAAAGCTGGCATTTGTAACCAAGTTCAAAATCAGGGCCATGCCTGAAGAGTTGACATCTGAGCCTTTCTTCTGGCGCAGGAACAAGGAATTTGGAAACCCCTGCATGAGGATCAGTGCGTCCCGCAGAGGGCACTCCTGCCTGGGAGTCGGAGCTTCGTCTTGCCCTGGAAGTCCTGTAACAGACCAGACAGAAGGGATGTGGCTTTTTCCCTATTGTTTATTCATGGTATTTCTGTGCAGCCTTCCTAATAGGCTTTCCTGGATACAGAATTATGCAAAAATTGAAATAAATCGGCAACATGCATTGTTCTGGTTTTGAGTAAGAGATAAATTACTCAGCTTAAAAAAAGTTATGTTGCACAAAGTCAACGAATATGTGCTTTTTAACAATAATAAGCGCCTTGTTTTGGAAGCAGTTTTCTGATGACCAGACTGCTAACCAAGGAGAGGGTTGTGTAGTCTGCAAGTTGGGGCCACAGTGGAGCAAGTTTCATCCAGCGCAGCGACACGGGCTGTTGTGTTCACACACATCATCTCTTGCATCAGGTTCCTGCCCTCACTGGAGCCTGCTCGTCCCTGTGCCCCTCTGCAGGGATGCGTACAAACATACAGAGGGTGATAAAAGCGTGTCCGCCTGCCCCCAGGCTTGGAAAATACAGCTTCAAATACAAATATTTAAAACATGAAAATTACTTAGATTATAAATATTTTTCAAATAAATTGCTGTGTAGCAGTTCCTGTTGTCCAAATGTGGTGCCATTTTATGCAGCTGCAGAGCAGTGAATAAAATTCTCTCTGTATGGACTGCTGACTGCTCCTAGGCCAGCTGTGCCAGTGCTGCTTTATTTTTTTCAGCCAGCTTGAAAGCAGTCTCCTCTTTCTGGAAGGCAATACCTGCAGGTGGTCAGACGTGAGCTGCCGCAGTATTTCCTCCCTCGTGTGGATGCAATATAAAAATAGGCTGTTGCTAATCTCTGAGACGCTGGGACGCTGAGCAGATGAGAGCGCTCTGCTGTAAGCAGTGATGCAGCACGGCTGCCTGCAGGAAGTTTCACGGGGTTTATCTCTGCGATGTGCTCCTGTCAGAACATACATCAACCTTAAAAAAAGCAGCAGCTTTCTCACAGTGCTGAGAATTTCAGTGAAGTTTGTTTTTAAGGGAGGTGGCCTCTTTGGATGAGGATTGTAATGTAGCGATTTGGGGGAAAATAAAAGGTCTATTGCTGAATGTCTTGGGTTTTGCTCTGTTCTCATCTTATTGCTGAAATTTTAGCTTTCAGACCTTGGCCTGCTGGAACACTGAGAGCAAAAAATAACTGCTAAGGACCTTTCTTATGTCATTTATGGTTTGTTGCATCCGGATTTAATTTAAAAAATCTAGTCCTTTTCTAAACATACCTACTTGCTTTGTATAAGCTGACTGTCAATTTACAGTCCTTAGAGACAAGGGAAGTAAGTGAAAAAAGATCAAGGACAACTGGACCTTCTGGGAGAGGGGAAAG